GTGGTGCGGATGTCCGGGCCTCGGGGCTGGCAGGCCTGCGTGTGGGGCCCTTCTTCCGGGGGGGGGGAAGCTCTGTGGATCTGCCTGGCTGAGCCGCACGGTGGTCTCGCAGTGCTGCGGGGGGCACACAGCTCTGGGGCCTCGGGAAGAGCCCTGGGCCCTGGGGCGGAGTTTGGAGTGCCAGCGCGCCGATCGCGGGCTGTGTGACACAGGGGCGTCCCCTGTCTGTGGCTCGGTCTGCAGCCTCTGCAGACAGGCAGTCCCCTGTGCCTTGTACACGCATACTGATCACCGCCCTCCCCTCCGTGCGAAGCAACACGGGAGAACACGTGTGCGCGCATCAGCGGTCGCGGGCTGTTCCTCCTGCCGGGAGCAGGTGGTTAGTCCGTATGAATCTCGTGTTCGGGAAGCCTCCCCTGGTTGGTCCAGGTCACAGGGTGAAGTCAGAGATCCATTTCCCTTAGGAAACAACCTTCTGGCTATGAGATGCCAGCAGAAACATCATTAATGCCTCAGAAGGCATCGAGGCTTCCGGGTCACGGGTGTCTCCTGGACAAGGCCCCCCTGGGCCACCCCTAGTCCTGGGGCTCCCACAGGGACCAAACTGCTCTCGGAGCTGCCTCCCCACCTGTGTGAGATAACTGTGGGGTGAGGGCGGCCCGGTCAGGTTTATTTCTGTGTCCCGGCAGCTGTCCCCACCACCCCACCAGTGAATAAAGGACAGGCCCAGAGCAGGCACCGAGCTCAGCCTGCACACACCCACCCCCAGCGATCCTGCAGCCCACTGGTGGCTGCGAATGCCCTGCGCTGGGTCCTGGGCACAGGTGGGGGACTCCCTGTCTCTGCCCGGGGTGGCCATTACTGAGGGAACCACAGTACTGGGCGCTCAGCACCTGCCAGGCTGTTCCTACTGCTTAATTTTCAGGAATTTTGCATGCGGTGCATTAAACCCAGCCTCTACTGAAAACCAAGTGAACCTGGGATGCAATAAATTCTATTTAAAGCAAAGGTGCTAAGTACCCAAGACTCAGCCCTTCCTGGCTCCTTTAGTACATTTCCTATCACCCACACTCTGGAGGTTACGAGCACCGACCGCACCTGTACAGGAGGAACGTCCTAGGACCCCGTGCTACTTGGTCCCTCTTTCCAACTCTGCACTCAGTGACATCACATAGCAGCTTGAACCTGGGGGTGCGTCCTCACACCGTGCAAAGAGGCCTGTGGGCTCCGGGAGCCTCCGGTGAGGGTGCCGTCAGGGGGCGCTTCCCGGAGGAGCTGAGACCCAAGGCCAGGTCTGAAGAGTGAGCGGGAGTTGCCTGGGCACGTGAGGGGGGAACCCGCCTTCCAGGAGCGCATCAAGGCGCAGACGTGCTTGTTCCCATTTTACAGAATCGTAAGTGAGGCGAAGTCACTCAGCACAGCTGGACAGGGATGGAACCGGGACGGGAATCCTGGCGTGTCCGGCTCCTGGGCTGCAGGTCTTTCGGGATGCTGCCCTGGGGGGTCAGATGCAGGCCGACCCCCGGCAAAGCGTGTAGGGCCCCCCCCCGCCCCGCCCTGCTGACAAAATGGCCTCCTCCCCAGGGGCACTTTCTGGGGAGACCGGGGTGCTCCGGGAGTGAGGCTGTGCCTGAGCGAGGCCAACCCATCCCTCGAGAAAGGCTCCGAGCCCTGGGCTTGCCTTCTGCCAGCTCAGGAAGGAGCTTGGCTAGGCCTGACCTTGGCGGGCACCTGGAGGTCAGGCCGCCCTGCCCCCTGGGGAAGCTTTAGGAGCCAGGGCCAGGGGAGTGGGCCCAGGCTCAGAAGGCTGGCCACGGGGGTCAGCTGTACCCCACATGTCCCGCCTGCTGAGGGGCACGGGGTGAAGGGGGTGCCTGAGTCTGCCACGCGGCCTGGAGCCAGTTTATCTGCTATGCCAATGAACAGGGCCCCTCAGCTCCTTGTTGCCTAGGCAACAGTGGAGACGCATCCAGGCTAGCTGGGCACTCAGGACCCGGGGCTGGGGTTGGGGTGGGGCGAGGGGGGTGGAGACAGATACCTGCTGGGCATTCCTCATTTGAGCCTCTGCCGGCCCTCCCGGGTTCTCAGGGAGCCAAGTTCCGTTCTCGCTCTGCAGATGAGGTTGGGGGTCCCTGCTAGCCTCTAGGGCTTTCCCTTACCCCAAGGATTCCCCAACCCAGCTGCCAGCAGCCGTTCTGGGCTCTGGGAGGCATGTGACACATACGGGCTCCCGGGTCCCGTGCCACTAAGCCTACCTGGGTAGGCAGTTCTCAGCTCTGGCGAGCATCCAGGGGGTTGCCAAGGCTGGCGGGGCTGGGGACTCGGCTGGGACCCCATGTAGCCTCCCCGCTACTCTCTCCTAATCCCACCATCATCGGGCTCCTGTTTGCGGCAGGAATGCAGGACGGCATCATCAAGGTTGAGAGCGCTCGCCTCAGGCTCACCCCAACCCATCCCTGGGGGCGGGGGGGGGGGGGGGGGGGGGGGGCTGGCACTGGGGACAGGTGGCCTGTGGGCAAGCTCCAGCCTGGCTCCTCCCCGTCCCCCGGGGGGCCTGCCTGCCTCCCTCCTGCCACTGCTCCACCACGTGGCAGGTGTACAGGTCCCGAGGGTGTGTGTTTCCCTGACCACAGCTTTTCTGACTCAGTTCCCAGCGCGTCCTGGTATGGAGAGTGGAGGTGAGCCGCCTGGGCCCGCAGTCAGGGGTCTGTGGCTTCTCAAGTGCCCCCCCACCAAGTGCCCCGGCTTGGGGGAGGCTCCCAGGCGCTAGGTGCACACTCGGCCCTCAGCACTGCCCTCCCCACCTTCCCAGCCAGGGTGCTCTGCCCCTGCCTGCTTCTCTTGCATATGCCCTACCTGGCTCCCCCGAAGGGCCCTTAACCGCCTCGCCACTGGGATCCCTTCCTGCTCTGCAGGACCATCTTTGGGCACCTCTCCAGTCGCCTCAGGCCTCCCCCTGCTCATTGCACTGAGGACAGCACCAAGGAGGCGGGTCGCCTGCCCCGGCACCAGCTTGGGGCTCTGAGCTGATTCCTGTTCACCTGCACTCGTGGTACCCGCCCAGCCCACTCCCCCGGGGGCCTGGGTCCAGGCAGCCAGTGGGTGTGGAGAAGAGTGAGAATGCTTTTCCTCTTGGCTTCCTCGTCCACATCTCGGTGACCCTGCAGTATTCGGGAAGGCTGTGATGCCGTACCCAGAAGCAGGGGTGCTGTTGTCCGAGGACAATCCTGTATCTCCGCGGGCTGGCTGTGGACTCCTGAGCACTCCAGGTCCACACCGTGTAGGTGGTTCATTTCTGGCCGGATCCCTTCCAGTCTGCAAGTTCGAGATTCCAGCGGGCAGCTGCTGGCTTCTTCCTGGCAGAGACTTGCTTGATGGGGTGTCTGTGTGTGCGTCTGTGTGTATCTCTTTGTGTGTGTGTGTGTGTGTGTGTGTGTGCGCATGTGCACGCGCCCTGAGTACTCTGGGCCCGGACCCGACAAATAGGGCCTTCTGTGACCCAGCACAAGACAGAGGGTGTCCTGAGCCCCGTCCTGTGGCTCTTGGCGGCATCCGGCCTGCACCCCCCGCCCCTGCCACACGATGCGGGGATCTCTGTGAAGCCGTGAGTGGTGACGGCTGACGTGTATGCTCTCCGCAGGGTTCCCGGTGTCTTCACATCCACTCCTCTCGGGAGAGTAGTTTAGTGTCAGAGTCAAGGAAAACGTGTTTGGGGCAAGAATGGGGAGAGTCCCATAAAATTCTCCGTCGTAACCACTTCAAGTATGCAATTCAGCGGCACCTAGCAGATTCCCCACGTGGTGCGGCCACCGCCTCGACCTAGTTCTGGAACGTTTGTGCAGCGCCCCCCGCCCTGCTCCCGGAAAGGGAAACTCTGGCCCTCTCCAGCCCGGTCCCTCCCCAGCCCCCCGCAGCCGCACATCTGTTCCTGGTCCCTAAGGATTTGCCTGTTCTGGATGCTTCCTAGCTGTGGAGCCACACAGGATGTGCCTTTTGTGTCTGGCCTCCTTCACTCCGCCTCCCGCTGTGCGTCCTGTTACCGCGCAAGTCAAGGCTCCACTGCCACTGATGGCCGAACGACACCCCGCCGTGTGTGTGCACCACATTTTGTGGATGCACTCGTGCCTCTGTGGGCAGTTGGGTCGTTTCCATGTTTTGGCCTCGGCGAATAACGCCGCTGTGAACACGGGTGTGCAAGGACCCGTTTGAGTCCTGTTCAGTCGGGTCCCTCAGCGAGTGTCTTTCCCTGCGCTTGGTTATGTGCACTGCGAAGTGGGAGCGGCGGGGATGCAGAGGGAATCAGGGACCTGGAAGGCCCCGGGCCCGCAGGGAGAGCCCCCTGCGTCCTCGACGATGCCGACCCTGGCTCCGGACAGCCCGGCGGTGCCGACGGAGCTGGCCCGACAGCAGAGTTGCTAACCGCTCCTCTCTGGGTCTCCCGGTTTGTTTGCAGAGGCACCTGTCGCCCGAGGAGTTCCAGGAAGTGTTTGGAATGAGTGTGCAAGAGTTCGACCGCCTGGCCCTCTGGAAGAGGAATGACCTCAAGAAGAAAGCCCTGTTGTTTTGACGGCCTCCAGCGTGCCAGCGACAGAGCGTGGGACAGCTGGCGAGAACCACAGAACCCCCTCCTTCCGCACCTGGCTCTGGCTTCTCTGTGTCCCTGCGGGCGGGCAGCGGGCCCCTGGAGAGGGCGGGGCGGGAGGCTGGGGCGGGAGGATGTTCCAGAGCGGGTGCGGCCTCTAGTTTCTGCCAGCTACGCTCCTGCCCCTAGTTCAGAGCCCAGATGCCTTGCTTCGCACTGCACGTGTAACCCACATCACAGAGGGGCTGCAAAGATGCTCCCGGGGCTCGAAGAACATTTACCTTGACCGTGCGGCGCCCCCCCCCCCCCCCCCCCCCCCCCCCCCCGCCCCTGTGCAGTGCCCCACCCCCCGTGATAGGCCCTGGGGGCGCACAGAGGTGCCTGGGCCTTGGGATTTGAGGAGGTCTGTCAACGACAGACGCTGGCACGACACAATCACGGGTGGGTGGGCCTATGGCTCCCAGCGCCTGCTCCCCGCCCCCCTCCCCCGCTTGCTCAGCCCTGGGGAGGCACAGCCTCGCGCGCAGACAGGCCAGGCCTGGCCAGGGAGAGCGCTGAGGAGCACCCAGGGCCGCTCGAAGCGAAGCGTGGGGTGCATGATGTTTGCCGCCGTTTGTGACGAGTCTGTTTTTAGGGACAACCGTCCACCGGACAGGGTACCTTCTGCCGGGGCCCTCCGTGCACTGCATTTTTCTTCCAAATCATCCCCTAGATGCCTAAATGATATCTTTAAAGTAACACAGAAGTTTTTATTTTATTAAAAAGCATAGCCTACTTAAACATAAGACGACATAGATAGAGTTCCATTTTACGGTCCCGCGGAAGGGGAGCGCCTCCAGCCTTACTCTCCAGTGTCCGGTCCTGTGTGCTTTCGCTTCCCCGTGTGCTCCTAGCGCACACGGCTCCTTGTCGGGTTTCTTTGCTTTTCTTCTTTTTCACCTGCCACACCAGCCCTCGGCCACGTAATGCCGTTTCTAAGTATGCGTGACGTGTCGCCATCACTGTTTGCCTGGCTGTTATTTTCCGCATCCCGGAGAGAAAAGATTCTCCTCTGATGGCCAAAGCCCCGGAATAAAGGATTTCCACGCACCCAGCCTAACACCCAGCGTAGCTCTTGGGGTGCCCTTTTGTGACATGGCTGGTGGTGCCCACCTTAGCCCGGTGCGTGCGTGGTCCCGAGGCAGGCACCGGCCGCTGGGGAAGGAGGAGGGAGACACCCCCCCCTTTTCTGACCTGCCCGCTCCGCATCAGAAGCCTGGCCGGGCCCCCAGCTGAAATCTGGGTGCCGGGCCCCCAGTCTGTAATCGGGTGCGGGTCGGAGCGCGGTGCCTGTCGCAGGCGGCTTGTAGAGTGGGTTGAGAGGTTCGCGAATCAGTAGGAAGGTGTCACCGAAGTCTGTCTTCCCTGTCTTCTGTGGAGCTGTGTCTTTCTGTGCGTCCTGAACGCCCGCCTGTGAGTCAGTGTTACTCAGATCCTTCCGGCCCCCGCCACGCACCCCGTCGTGCACCGGCTCCTCACCGGCCCGGCTCGGCCAGGGAGGGGGAGTTTCTAGCACCTAATGCACTTCCTTCCATTTAGCAGAGCCTGAGCAACTGGAAACCCCCATTTTTCTCACTAGTGCAATGTCCTGTCAGCTCCCAGGGGAGCCCGGAAAAATAAAGGTCGGTGTATCCTAACTTGTGAAGGTCAAAGCCGCTTCTCATAAACGTGTGTCATTTCTAACGGCACGGGCTGGCGCCCGGGGAGACCGCCTGCTGAAAAGCAGTGGCCCTGGATGGGCACAGGGTGGGGGCGGTGCCTCGAGGGGCGGGACCCCCATCCACATGGGACACCCCTGTCTCAAGACAGCAAGTCAGAGGCACTTGCCAGCCAGCACCAGGCGCCAGTGATGGGGGGGGTGGGAGCTGATGCCTGTCCCTGTTGGGCTGGGGAGACCAACCAGCAAAGACAAGACTGACCGCTGCCCTCCGGAGGAGCCCCTGATACACCCAGAGGTCAGTGAAGGGAAGGGCATTCCAGGCTGAGGGAACAGCAGGAACAGACACAGTGAGCTGGAGATAGCCTCCGAGGTTCTGGAAAGTTCCGTAGCTGGTTAAGGCTGGAGCACACCGCTAAGGAAGGGAGGAAAATGCAGGTGGGGCTCCCTCGAGGGAGGGCCCAGCAGGTCTGCCCCCCCACAGTCGCCAATGCCACTCTGGGATTAAACGTCCCCTCATCTCTACTTTGTTCAGACGACTGACTACTCAGACTCAGTGTGCCACTACCGAGAGACTCCTATGACAAAACACCGTTGACTGGGTGGCTTAAACAACACACATTTGTTTCTCATCGTGGTGGAGCCCGGAGGTCCAAGATCAAGGTGCTGGTGAGACTGAGTAGTGAGAGCCCACTCCCTGGCTTGCTGCCCCTCGCTGCGTCCTCCCTTCGTGGACAGAGATCACCCTTCCATTCCGCCTCATCTTCCTGGAAGGGCACGGTCCCATGGTGAGGGCCCCACCCTCACGGCCTGATCATCTCCCAGAGGCCCCATCGCACCGGTTAGGGCTTCCACACGCTTTGGGTTTTCCCCCTAAAAGCCGGTCCACGTGGACCCGGTCGGCCCATCTTGGCAAATGGCACAACCGTATCCCCCGTGGTAAACGGGCACGCTTCCCTCAGCCCCCAAGGACCCAGCAGAAGGCCTGACTCCACGGCAGGTATCCCCCTTGCGTCTTTCCGCCTCCTCGGACCCTGTCACAGAATCGTTCACGCCGGCGGCCCGTGCGGGATGGAAGGCGTCTCCCTTACTGTCGACCTTGGGAGGCTGGTGTGCACCTGGCCGGGCCCAGGCAGACTGGGGCACGTGGTCGCCCCGACCACACTGAGCCCATGCTCACGCCTCCCTGGATGGACACAGCACGTCCCAGGGTCTCTGCTTCTTCCCCAGGCGAGGCCCTTCTCTACCTTCTGGGCTCAGCTCAGAAGTTCCTAAGTCAGACGGGCCGCTCGCCGGCCCTGTAGAAAGTCCGCCCCGGGCCCGTGCTGGGATTCGCACTTGCCCCTGTTCTGTTTATTGGCTCCTTCCCTCCACCACCGGTAAAGCCAAGAGGGGGGGACAGTTTTACAGTAGTTTGGTAACAGTGCTCTGCGACCCAGAAGTTTTGTTGGGCTGTTTGGTAGCGAGGCTGGAGCCCATCTGGACGCTGTACTTTGCCCCAAGGTTGGCCTTCTTAGTTCCCAGAGTAGAAACCAGTCTACTACATAAGGAGCATCGCAGAACTGGTTTCCATCCCCTTGTCTCTCGCTCCCGGACCCCCACCTTCCGGGTGGAAGACACCCCGGCAGCCGGAGAGGTGGCTCACCTGCGCTGGGAGTTCTGGGACCCAACACAGCCCTCTGGGGGGGGGGGGGGGGGGGGGTGTCCCTAGGGAGCACGCTTTGGAAGAGTTTAACAAGAAAAGACATCAGTGCCACCTAGTGGCCACCAGGGGCCGCCAGGCTAGTAGGGAACTAGGTTTCACGAATAATAGAGGCTCCCTTTCCTTCTGTCTGAATCATGAGGCCCAGGGAACGTTCTCAGCTGGACATCTTTCCGGAGAGTTCCACCGAGCAGCCCTACCTGCTGACAGCTCTTCCCGCCTCTGCCCCCTGAACATGTCTCTACTCAACACTTAGATGCCACGTCATCCCCTCTGGTCCATCCCGTGCTCAAGAGCCCATAGAAATCTGTAGCACACATTTGCCCATGAGCCTGGGTGCCTCACTGGGGCTCTGGGGCCCTTCCCCGACTCCTTCACTGGCACCGCCTGGCCACTGACTCCCTCCACAGACACCTCCTTCCTCCTCCCCTCATACCCTTGTTTCTCAGGCAGCACCTTCTCACCTCCCTCCCAAACACAGTGCCCTTTGCAAAGGCTCCTTCCTCTCCCTGCGATGCCCCAACTAGCAAACTCCTATCCATTCTTCAATACCCAGCTGAGATACTATCTTCTCCGCAAAGACGTCCATGAGATGCCCCCCCTCCCCCCATTGTTATCACTCTTCCTTCCGTCCAGATAACCTCGTTCCTCAGCAAATATTCACTGAACTGGGCATGAAAAAGACACCGTCCCTGACCCTCAAGAGGAGGAAAGGTACTGTGGATTGAACTGTGTGCCTCACAAGTTCACACACTGACCCTGAGCTGGGGGAGGGGCGGGCATACCCTCTATCCTGTCCGAAGTCTCTGCTCTCATTGACCTCCTGCCTTGGACTCCATCTTGATCCATCTTCCCTCAAGGGGGCCTTCTTCCAGCTGCCCTGGGTCACCGACTCCAGGCTGGCTCCTGACAGGACCCCTGTCCCCAGTGAGTCTGAGCATGCACAGACCCCAGCTGTGCCAGCTTACAGTCTTTCCCCTCAGCACATGAAGGCCTCAGGCGTGCGGGGGTTGCTGGGAACTTGCTTTACGGGCCCCCAGCACTGGTTGGGGCTAATATTGGGTTAGATGCTCCCAACAAGTCCTACGAGGCTTTGGCGACCCCTTTCCGCCAGCTGCCAGCAGCCCAGTCATTCTCGCCTGCCTGAGTCTTTTCTTACCTTCCCTGCACTAAAAGCTTGATGGTCTTTCACATGTCTCCAGGATTTTTTTCTGCCCTAGACAAGTCGATAAAAAGGACAGCCTTTCGGTTTGGGTTTATGGTCACTCTCTGGACTCAGATGTTCTCAAGAGAGCCCCGTAGCACAGTGGGCAGTGGGGAGGCATCCCCCCGTTCCCTCTGGGGGGTAAGGCCATTCTAGCTCTGTGTCCATCTCTTCCAATGCTGACCAGCTGTGGCTTCCCCCAGACCCCCGGCTCTGCTGAGGAGGGGCAACTGCCTTACAATCAACAAGTCAATCGAGAGGTCAGCTTCTGGGGCAGTGGCTCACCCCCTCCTCTGGGTGCTCCCAAACGCACCTGCTGATCCATTCTTGTCCAGAGCAGTGCAGCTCTCTGCCTCAGCCCAGCCACCTATGGCCTATAGTCG